CTTTATCTTTTATTATTATTTACCTCCTTTATCATTTAGTATTTCCTCTTTTATCTTCTTTTTTTATTATTATTATTTCTTCTTCTTCTTATTTTACTTCTTATTTACTTTTTTCTTTTTCCTTTTTATTTCTTTCTTATTTTATCTTTTTTGATTTCTTTACATTGAAATATAAGAGATATTGAAAATGAATATGAAGGGAAACTGGATGAAATTGTATAATCAATCTTCTATGAGAATATTAAAATTAATTTTATTGTTTTATATAATTTCTATCAAAAATAAGAATGGTCCATCTATATTATTAATTTATTTATTGTTCAAATTTAATGAAATGTATGATAATAATTCAAAATTAATTAAAGTATGTAAGTCATTTATTAATTTACTTTCAATTTTAAATAAATGATATGATTTTATCATATAGAATATGTTTGTTTATTATTATATTTTGTTTTCTTTCTAATTATTTAAAATTATTCATTGAATTTCGTATATTTCTATTATTTATTAATGTAGTATTTATATGCTTTAATATTTAAATTAGTGTAGTATTTCTATTATTAAAATATATCATTTGATCATTATCATTATTTTATATTTAATGATCATTGTACATTTCAAGATGCATATTTATTATTTCTTTATATTTAGGGAGATGTTAAATTATTTTATAATAAATAAATATAATGAATAGAGATAATGAAGATAAAATAAGAGAGAATAATTTCAATTTATTTTTCTTTAAAATTGAATAGAGTAAATTCCAGTAGATGATAGAAATAATTGATATCTTCTTTCTTTTCTATTAATATTTATTTATTAAAACTCTTGTTTCATTTCTTATTTTACCTTATATTTTATATAAATGATAAAATAAAACAAGTAGTATTAATAATTGATATGACAAAGTATGTAATAAGAAGATAATTCTGCAATTTATAATTATTTTTGATTTCTATAGTTTTCTCCTTAAAAAAAAATATGACAATTTATTAAATTGAAACGAGTGAATATACTTCTACTAGTATTATCATTGTTTCCTTTACTTATTAATGTTTCTCTATATTTATTAAAAGTTCTTCGTATAATAATTTAATATGAGATGATAGTAAAAGATATAATATTTATAAACATAAATGACTTAATGAAATACTGTGGATATCATAGATGTGAATATAGAGATATAGAAGTACTTCATGTTCTTTTTAATTTATACTAATGACTTCCTTCTAATCTTATCTGTCCTTTCTCAACTACACTTTTCAATTTCTATTCTTTCTTATTTTATTTTTATTTCTTCTTTTCTTCTTTCTTTTCTGTCTATTTATTTTTATTATATGTTGAGTATTTCTTATCTTTTACTTTTTATTATTTTCTTATTTCTGTCATTTATTTAATTTCATGTTTTTGTATAAATTTCTTCATTTAAAAATATGTTAAATTAATAGTTTATTTGAACTAAAACTAATTCCTTTTCTATTATTATTATTATTAATTTGATTATTCTTTAATTATGTGGTGAATATAGTTTGATTAACGTATTTTTCAACATAAATTATCCCTTAATGACATATTGAAATACCATTTATTTTATTTATTCTTTTATTTAATTTGAAATATACTTTTATAAAAGTATTTCATGATCAGTCTTTTTGTTTAGTAGAGAGTGAATGAAGTATTTTCATTTGATTATTATGAAATATAAAATATTTAAGTTCTCCTTTTTCTTATTTTTTTATTTTTTATTTATTTTCTTCTTCTTTATTATTTTTTATCTTTTTATCTTCTTTCTTTTATTTCTTTTATTCTTTATTTTATATACTCTCTTCTCATTTTATCTTTATATTCTTTCTTCACTTTGATTACTCTTTCTTTTCAAATTTTACCCTTCATTTTATTTGACAAACCATTTATTTCTTCTTTATTTCTTTTTATTTTATTTGAATTAATCTATGTTGATAAAATTTCAATTTCTCACTTCTCTTTTTGTTGTTTTCTTATTCTTACTTATTTCTTTATTTTTTTATTTCTTTTTCTTATTATCATTTTTTTATTTTACTATCTCTTCTTCTTCTCTTTATTCTTTATTTTCTTCTTCTTTTTCTTCTTTTATTTTATCTTCTTTTATTTTATTTATCTTTTATTTTATTTATCTTTTTTTCTTTTATTTTTTATTCTTTATTTCTGTTTATGATTTTATTATCTTTTTATCTTTTATTTCTTTCTTCTTTACTTTTATATTTTGAAATACCTGTATTTATTCTTTTATTTCCTTTTATTTATATTATACTTATTATATTTTATATGTTTTCTTAATTGGATTTATTGTGCTTTTCCTATTCTTAATTTGTCATTATTTGAATATATTTATTTTATACTAAGTGTTATTCTTATTTTATTATTTCTTGTTGTATTTGGAGTTCTGTTATTTTAATTTATAATAATCCCATTAATTATTTTATATTATTATTTTATTTTTATTCTTTTTATTTATGTTTATTTTATACTATTTATCTTTCAAATATATTGATGTGTTAATATTCTTGTTTCTTATTTATTTAGTATTTCTATTTTTCTTTTCTTATTTCAATTCTTATTATTATACTTTACTTTTTATTTATATTTATTATTTATTACTGCTATATGTTAATGATTATTTCTGTCTTTTACTTTCATTTTTATCTTATATATCTCTTCTTCTTATTTTTTGTTATTTTTATTTCTTTATTTGAAATATTCTTTATTCTTTCCCTATGTTTATTAAATGATCATCTTTTATTATTTCTTTATGTTTTAATGTATTTGTTATATTGAATTTTTCTGATTATAATAGACCTGTTTATAGTGAACTACTTCTTGTTTATTACTCCCATCAGAGTGTTGCTTGTGATTGTATTCTCACTTGTGCTTTCTGAACTACTCATTTTATTTTCTATTCTTTTTTATTTTTATCCTTATTTTCTTATGTTTATTCTTTCTTATAAATTTTACTATTTGTTAAATCTATACCACCTGTTAATTTGATATTTCTCTTATTTATTCTCTGTTTTTTTTAATTTATTAAATTTATAGTATTTCTATTCTCTTTGGTATTATCTTTATTTATTTTATTCTTTATCTTATTCCCTATGTTTATTAAACTATCTTCCTTTTATATTTCTTTATGTTTTAATACTATAACTTATCCTATTTAATTTCTTAATTATTGTTCATGTTTCTTATATTAATATATTCTAATGTTCATGATGGTATTTATATAA